AAAAAAAAAAAAAAAAAAGAAAATAATAAGAGAGTAGAACAAACGAGGAAATTATTTTTTTAAATACATATTTTTCTTTACGCCTTTGATTTTATTTGTATTGCGATAATTGAATATTATAAACAAGTTTATTTTGAATAAAATAAGTAAATCGTATATATCTGGTTACGATATAAAATATCGGGAAAAAATTGGGAAAATATTGAAACTGAAACTAGTTTGGGTATAAAAAGAATAAAGTCCAAATATATGATCCTGAAATAATATATGTATTGCATGACGTTCTGTAGAATGATTTTTATTCGTTCGCTTTTTTTTTTTTTAATTTGTTAAAAAATCATTGGAAAAAATATTTCTACATGACATTATAAATGTGTATAGAAATTTTATGTAAATTAATATTTTATGAATATTATTATAGTTTGGAATATATATATATATATATATTTGAATTGCACGACACATTTTTTTTATTATATTATATATGTGTTGAATATATGAACTCGTTTTAATAAAAATTCATAGATCCAGTGATGAAACTGATTTTCAATTCTCGCCAAATCATTATACAAACATATAACATTTTACAAATATTTTTCCATTTGAAACATATATCTCTATTCCACATTATCAAATTCATGATTGAGATAACGCAGGCGAGTTAATAGCAAATTTTATAAGTGTGCAATAGCGAAATGACGTGTTACGAAGATAAAACGGTAACTATAATAATTTCCTATTTCCTTTTTATAAAGACTATCATTCGTAAAAAAAAAAAAAAAAATTGTATCACGAAAATACACAACAAATTAAAATCTCTTTGAGAAACAATAATAATATGCGTCAAACTCGAGATTATTCTTAGACTTGCTGCATGATGATGATTCACTTTGATACATTTTGTATACATCTTGCACCTTGTGCAAATGAGTTTTGGAATATTAAACGTAATATTCTTGTAGTCTTTTATAATTGCATATTTTTTGATTTAATTTTACCCGACTTTCCTCTTTTTTAGAATCAAACATCACGTTTAAGTCGCCATTTTTAAAACAGAGAAAATATCTAAAACGATCGTAACCGAGTAAATGAAAACAATTTCAGTAGAAACACTGGTGGAGTGAGAATAATGTTTCAGTTTATAGGTTTCCAAGAAAATTACTTCAATAAAATATAAATATTTTAGAGAAGAAGAGAAGAAAAATGTAAATATTTTTGTAAAACCAGTTTCATTACTTTTCAAATGCATCATATCGTATTTTCACGTATAATATTTAATTAGTCAATTCAATTTTTGGCGAATTTTTTTTTTTTTTAATAATAAACGATACATATTATATATAACATTTATTGATTTATCGTCGCGTTAATAATTCAAAAACTGTTCAAAATAAATTCTATTTTTTTTTTTCTGCTGCAAAATCTTCAATTATCGAGACCAATAAGATCAAGAATAATCAGTATTAATTCCTTTTTTGTTTTTCCCGTTCCACGGCATTTAAAAAAAAAATTATCGCGTAATCAACGAAAATTAAATTGCAAATCTTGTTGTTGGTTATTTTTTATCGACGTTGATGTTATTACGTATTATTATACACGTTGCTGCGGAATATTCCTGCTGAGGAGTGGACGAGTGTGCCATGCTCGAATAGAAAAGATAGAAAAGTCTGTGAAGAATAAATTCGCGACAATTATTTTGCGCAATCGCGTTACGTAAACGCGCCACAACAACCTTCCCTGAATCACTCGTGTTAATTAAAGTGCCTACGATGACTTTATTAACCGTTGCAAATTACCTGTCTTCCACGTCTGTTTATTTGTCCAACAACTACTGTCCTTTCCATCCGCCTAGGTGGTTACGTTTCCAACTTAAGCGAATGAAGATCGATTTATATTCATTAGATACGGGCCAAGGCGATTCACACACCCTTGCGTTTCACCAATGGGAATTGTCCTAATGGGAGATGTGTAACGAGCACGTGTCACGCACGTATAAATATTATTACTTGATTTTATAATACGGTAAAAATGTAGGAGGATTGGTATCGCGTCGAATACGAATGTAAATCGATCTTAAGACGTTTATCCACGATTATTGTAGAAAGATCGTGAGAATTTTCTCGATCGTTGTCGATAAAATATAATTGAATAATTATTTAATTATAAGATATTAAAATTATCGGTTTTTGACGCATTTAAATCGCGATCTCTTTAATTTAAATTACGATTTGAATTACGATCTCTTAATTAATCATAGAAGCAACGATTCGTCTGCACAGGTAACCAGCACAGCCGCGAGGATGCATCTTCATCGAAGATGTTTCGAAGGAAGACGAGGCCGATAATCTGGTTCGTGAGCAACTGTCGGGCAAAAAGCGGTCGGCAGGAGTACGTGGACGAGCTGTCGAGGCACATACCGATCGACGTTTACGGGAAATGCGGGACCATGTATTGTCCACCTAGCGTGGACTGCTTCAAGCAGGTCGTCGAACCCCACTATTTTTTCTATCTGTCGTTCGAGAATTCGTTCTGCGACGATTACGTAACCGAGAAGCTGTACAATGCCCTCAGGTAAAACAATGGACGATCTCGATGATAGAATTGTTACTAGACGTAGCTCGTAACCGCCTCGCTGATCGATTTCGAATCGGCTGACGGATCTGCGCTACGAATTCGTGTGCAATTGTTCCGACATGTGATCGTTAAATTAATTCTCTTTCTCCTCTCGTTTTATCTCTTTTCTAACTCTTTTTTTCTTTTTTCATATTCGCTATATGTTTGCTAGATACGAGAGATTAGATTAGAGAAAAAGAAAAAGATTGTTTTAATATTTATTTAGATTACATGATTTCGATTCTCAACTTGAGTTTTCTTGAATATAAAAATATTACTTCTAAGATTTCGATAAGTTTTATGTTTGGTTGTTTAAGTTTGGAATAGATTTTGTGTCAATTTTTTTTATCAATGTTTCGCGTATTTTATGACACGGAAAAAAAGATTTAATTTATAATCAAAGAGTGTTGCTTTCCTTTTATTTACAGGTACAACGTGATCCCAATCGTATACGGTGGCGCCAATTACAGTCTCTTTGCCCCACCACGATCTTACATAAACGCATTCGACTTCGATTCTCCGAAGGATTTGGCCGAATATTTAAAGAAACTGATCAAAGATCCGCGGGAGTATAATAAATATTTCACTTGGAAGAGGTATTACAAAATCGATGGCGGCATTCGACACGCCGCTTGCAATCTTTGCGAGTTTCTCCACAAGAAGAAAGAGCCGCGAATGTATAATTCACTGTCTAATTGGTATAGTCAGCAAAAATGTCCTCTCCAGGAATTTTTACGTTATCACAGTTACCTTACAGGTTCCGTTTTAAAAGACTGACTTTATTAACTGACTATTTTAAGTTGATATATATATATATTTTTTTATTTTTAAAATATCGTAATCGTTACATCGTTAAATGGATTAAAATGAAAATCATGAAAAATCTATGATTTCATCCCCTTTATTTAAATATTTATAATTTTTAATCAAAATGATCGTGAACTCGACGCATTTACCATATTTTTCGTATTTATTATAGGATTTATTGTACAATGTAGTGAACGGTATTGTGTAAATGCAGAGACTTTTTTGTCGTTTGAAAACTCGGTAAGTGGAACATTGACTTTCGATGAACTGAAATAGGATTTCGAACGATAAATGAAACGCGAATTTCATCTTGTTCCATGAATTCGCTAATTGTAAATAAAGTTAAACGAATCATCTTTAAACGAGGACATACCTCGTATATTCATTAAATTATTCATTAAATTTGTTAAATTTGTTTCGTTAAAAATATGAATTTTTGACAAGAAAAAAAAACTTCGCGCACGATTGTAATAAGAAATAATTTTGTGATAAAAGTATTTCACGATTCAGAAAATCAAAGCGAAGTTCCGTCATTACACCTTCTATAAAATATTCACCAGTTGAATCGTAACGTTGAATGCACCGAAAACCAATGATTTTCATAATTTATTCCGTCACACCGGTTTGCTTTCGAGCATTGAAATGTCAATTAAACCGAACGTACCTCGAAAGTATTTGCAGTTTCAAACTCGTTTAAAAAAAACTTTCAACGATCCAACGTTGAAAAAATTCCTACTGACTAAATTAATCTGTAATTTATTATGAGCGGTATAAATATTTCGATAATTAGTTATGTAGATATCTTAAAAATTAAAATCGATGCTCGTTTAAAGTTATCGGGTATAAAACATAATGTTATTAAAGTTTTGTATTTCACGTATTATGACATTCTTTCTGCGCGTCATGAAAATACTATAATTCCGTAATGACTCAGATTATTTAAATACAATTTACATTAGCGACTTACTCGTTCTTATTCAAACAGATATGAAAAAGAAAGAATGGATATATTTTTAACTATGGGCAAATAAAAAAAAAAAATCGCACGTGGAATAATTATTTTGACTTAAAAAAAAATTTGACTTGAAAAAAAAAATTAATCAAAAACATGATAAACATGATAATAATGGTGAAGTGAATCGTTAAAAATCTTTGTTTTAATGTTTGACGAATTTCAAATCACAGAAAGTCACATAGTGACAATTTCTTTGCGTAATTTTAATTTTAATTGTTCAACACCGGGATCATTCATTGTAAAATTGCAATGTAAAGTTTGTTTTTTTAACATCTAATTGAACAAGTCAAAATATATTTAATAAATAAAATATAAATTTGTTTTTTGAATTTCTTGCATACAATATATAATAATTCAAATATCAAAATTGAAATGCTTGATAATAAGCAAACGATAAGAAATCCACGCATTATATTTACATTTTAATTTTTCTATTTGTAAAACCATTCTATGATCTCATCGCCATTAAAGCCAGCAAATTATTTCTGTTTAATCGTCCTCCAATTTATTTACGAAATTGCGTGACAAGTTCCTCAAGGTTACTAAGTTTTATTCTCTATTTTTAGAGTCGCAATGATTAGAGTGACTGTGTATTATTACGCTCCTGTAAATAACTATTACGATAAAAATCCTATTCGAGAAATTAAACACTTCTTTCTTTGATCGCTTTAAAAATTCTTCTTGTTATATTTGCATTTATACATATATGCATATACGATAATTTCATCGATATTTCTTCTAACTTTTCAACAACTGTGCGCTCAATTAAACACTCTTTCGCAGAATTTATCAACTGATGATATTAAAAAAATTTGCAAATTCGCTAATTATTAGATCATAATTCATACACACACAAAATAATCGTTTTGATGCATGTATCAGAATTATACAGAATTTTACAACCTCTTTAAATTTTTCGAAACAATTATATATATTAAAGGGATAAGCCTAAATTTTGACCTGTAATTAGTATTAAAAATTTAAATTAGCAAATATAGATATTAAAAATCAATCGAGAACATTACCAATAACAATCAATTACAAATTTTAATCTTGTTAAACCGAGACTGAGAATAAACCTAATTAATTATATCAAATTTTAATTATAATATTATTTCATCAACAAAGCTATATGTAAGTACGACGTGATTAAATTAAATCATAAATATTCAGAAGGAAACGAAATGAATTTTCAGGACAATCTAATACAATTTACGATGGCGATAATGGAATCCGTTCTTGCGGATCCAAATATCGGGACAAACGAAACAAGAAGAAGATTCGTAGGGGCGAAAAGAAACGTGGACGAGGCACCTTCGTGTTGCTCGGTTTAATTGAAGCTCGTGCCATTTCCTTCGAAAGTTTCGAGTCGTCAAAGATGGCGCGTGTTACACGGCCGCGTAAACAACGTCATCGAGAGAGACGTTTCGTATCGGGACATTCTTCCACGATTTCTTGGACGATAGAACTGGTCTGAGGAAATTCCTTCCTGTTGGGTGAACGGTCTGAAAAGGCTCGTAATCGCGTTGGACCCGTTAAACAAGTTCAGTAAGATGCCCCGACAAAATTGTTCGAATCGCGTTGAAATTGTTTAAACTCGCAGAGAAAATTTCGAATATAATTGGCTTGATTCCGCGATTCTTCAAGCAAACAAGCTGCGATCTGCCCGAACGATTACGAAATTCGTTTCGAACGCGGCATTTAGAAACGTTGCTCTTTGCTGCATTCGTTGGAAAATATAATCGTTGGAAAAAGTGTTCGATTTTTCCCGTGTATATTTTTATCGTAAATTAATTTTAATCCGATAAGATCGTAACATCAACGGTATTTTGAATTTCAAATAAATACGTAATAACCGATGAGCATTCGTGGAAAAAAATAGCCGTTTGTTAATTATTTAAACGGAGGTTTCCACGAGTGATACGCAAATTCCATGGAAAAAAAATTTAGTGAAAGAATATCGACGTGAAAATTATAATTCCTCGTCAAGTATTCGTTTGATCGATCTTTCTTCGATCCATATTATTATTAATATTATTAATATTATACTCTATTATCCTTCGTAAAAGAATCGAGCGACGAAGCCACATCTTTAGACAATTTTCGAATATGACAGAAAATATGTGATATATGGATCTGGATGCCATATTTTTTCACAGGATGAAACTAGATGTTTTGGACCAGTCAACGTGAAGAAACACAAATCGGAACATTTTTTGCAAAACTGAAAATCCGTACAATAGACAGTTGGTTAATCACTTTTACAAAACCTATTCCGCGATGAGGTACAAGTTTTTGCGATATTGCGTGGATGTATAGGTTAGAATGAAATGATTAGAGGTTAATAAAATGAGTAACGAAATTATTTAATAGTTTTTTTCATGTTTTTTTTTCTTTCGTTAAATGAAATTCTTCGTGATATAATAGGTAATTGAATAATTACTTTGAATAATTTTAATATATCATTAATTATCGTGACGTTAAAAAATTTTATAGTACACATTGATATGCTAATTGATTATTCAACAAGTTTCTACTCGTTCACTCGTTATATTCATCAATATATCTGCATTATTATCACGGTGGTTCTCAATCTACGAGCGATCGTCAAACTGATCGTAAAATAATCTTTGCAAGATCGATGCAATTACTTTATGATTATTTATGTAGAAAATTTTACAATGAAAATTATGGATTTATTAATATGTCTTTGTGGAAGCATAATAAATTATGGCTTTGAATCGATCCTTCAAAGATGTTCCATGAATATATTAATTCCTAGTATAAATATTAAATATTTTATATTTATTACGATACGTATTTTCGATTAATATTTCATTTAGTTTTCGAGTAATTCTCATTTGATCTTGCATATATATATAATTCACTTTTAATTTGTTCTTAAAGAATATTATTATTGCACGATATTAATTCTTATTCCATAAACATATTCATATCCGGGATTTCTAAAAAGATGATATTTTTCTTTTTATATACTTTCAATAATAATATCAATCAAACACGTTGTTGCACAAATTTTTCAATTCCAATCTCGATATTAAAATATCTAAAAATACTACGTGAAAAATTCACGAAGATTTCTTCAAAGATTTCCTACCAAAAAAAAAAAAAAAAATGTTAGACGCGATTTACTCTCATTTACGACTTCAGATAAAAGCATTCACAAAACAAAAAACAAAAAGATTAAACAAACGTGTTTTTGAGAGGCGTTGCAATTTTTCAAGCTATTGCAAAAGATCTTGAAAAATATTAGACTCGAATTCTCTCAGTTTCTTCCAAAATTCCAAAATTCGTCACAATCTCTCACAACAATCTCTCGGATCAATTATTTAAAAAAATTCTTGGAACTCGAAACGCGTGAGACTCTTCGAATTCTCGCAATTCTCGAAACTCACCTCGTCGAGATGTATCTGCGAATAATTAGCGGGGACCCCGGATCTGAATTCGTTTTTGCAAATGGCGGTGGGGAGAACAACGTGTTACTCGAATGTGAACAAGGCTAATAGCAAGAAGAATGCGAGTGTATGATTTGCGGGCAAACGTGAGGCGAAAAGTGGCTGGAATACTACGCTAAACTGTTCAGAGACATGTACGTCGACATTTGCGGTGAGTGCGGTAATTATAACTGTTCTTGCGGCAACCGGTGCTTCTCTTGCGAGATTGTAAAGCATGCTAGTTACTTTTTCTATTTTCTGCCTCGAGAATGCTTTGAACGAGTTCGCAACGTAGCGAAACAACGCCATATATATTTTTTTTTTTATATTAAAACGTTCGATCTTTCTTCCTGTCCGAGCGCTTCTACGAGATCGGAATCGATCAGAATTATATATATTTTCATACCGTCCTTGTGTACAATTGTATGTTAATGTAATTACGTTATAACGTATTACGCAAACGATTGCCTTCAACGTGACCAGATTGATTAAACGTTTAAAAGTTGTCGATGATACGATGTTGTACGTGTAGATTAAAAAAAAAAAAAAGAAAAGAGAATAGCAGTTGTGCGCTAATAAAATTTACTAAGATGTATATCTGAGATAATTATTATGAATTAGCGCAGTCGACAGTTTATTATTATATGGCTTAAAATTAACATTCACGAAGCGGTTATTTTAAACGAACCAATTTTCTTTTTATTATTTTTGCCTATATAACGCGATAAAGCGTTTTAAAAAAAGTCGAATGATTATTCTCACGATAAAACTTTTTCATTTCTTTCATTATTATTGGGATCCGATTATCGTATGAGGCGACAATATAATTGCATATTTCAAATATTTTCTGATATTGAAATAACGTCATTTAATAAATATGTTTAAAAGAAAAAGTAAAAACAATCTCTCTTCGCGATTATATTTTTAACAATTATTTTCTTCTGTCAAGTTTCAAAATCAAAAAATAATG